AAAAATGAAGTGCATCCCATTTATAACCTGGAATACATATTGCACCGAAGAATTAAGGTGGAAGAACCACATAAAAGGAACGGCCCAGTGCAATGTACAAACTGTCAGGAGTATGGACACACCAGAACATACTGCACACTTCGATCGGTATGTGTAGTTTGTGGAGACTTTCACAATTCCGCCAATTGACCTGCCAACAAGGAAGACCCCCAAAAGAAGAAATGTGGAAACTGCGGAGGAAATCACCCGGCAAACTACAGGGGCTGTGTGGTCTACAAGGAGTTGAAAGACCGCATGCGACGAGTGACAACAACGCCCCACCAAAACACTCAAAACGTGTACAATTACTCAAAAACGACGCCGGAAGTATTTTTCGGAACGGCTGCAAGATCCTCATTTGGTCATGCCCTTCGAACAGGAACGGAAAACCTACTCCAGTCTTATCTAGGAAACGTTCAGCAGGTCCCAAGGCAGTCACAAAGCCCACTGGAAGCTATGATGGATACTATGCAACAAAGTAACAAATAAGAGGCTACACCGTCTACCGCACAGATCATCCAGACGGTAAAGACCACGGCGGAACCGGCATCCTAATCAGGGAACGCATCAAACACCACTTTCACGAAAGGTTTGCAACTAATTACTTCCAGGCCACGCCTATCAAAGTGCAGACAGATAGCGGACCCCTTTCCATAGCCGCTGTCTACAATTACTGAAGGACAATTCATGGATTTCTACAACCTACTTGAAGATCGCTTTATAGCAGCAGGAGATTATAATGCCAAACATACCCACTCGTGACTCTTAAAGGAAGGCAATTATAAAACTGAGCAACAAATTGGACTATGTTTCCCTAGGTAGCCCCACATACTGGCCAGCAGATCCCAGAAAGGTCCCAGACTTAATAGATTTTGCGGTGACAAAAAACATTCCACGCAATATAATAAGCGCCAAAGCGCTTTCGGACCTTTCATCTGACCATTCGCCAGTGCTAATAACTCTTCTTCAAAGCCCAGAAACTACAGATCACCCCCAGAGACTGCCATCGCACAGAACAAATTGGTTAAAATATAAAATGTATGTAAGTCCCACATCGAACTATGTACTCGTGGCAGCGGCCACTATTTCAACACCTCCGGGCAGTGACCTAATAACACCAAAAATGATAATTGAACTTCCAAACTCTGCTATTGAAGCTATTTGTAAACTTTTAAGATTTGATACACTTATTGTTAGTATCCGAAAGGAGAAAATTCAATAAATAAACAACAAAGCAATAAAAAAAAACAAAACAACGACCTTCCAACCCAGCAATAATTCTCTGGGCCGCATTACTCAGTACCAGTCATATGACTGTTAATTAGATTACTATTAGATTTGATACACTTATTGTTAGTATCCGAAAGGAGAAAATTCAATAAATAAACAACAAAGCAATTAAAAAAACAAAAAACAAAGCAAACTTCGCAAGCCAAAGTTCATATACCGGTGCAGTAAAATTACAAAACGACTACATTTCGATTTTTAAGCCTATATTAATTACTAACAAGAAAGGAAAGCTAACTTCGGGCGGAGCCGAAGTTGATATACCCTTGCAGAATACTCTGTAAATTATATTCTCCAAAATTATTCATATAATGCATTCTTAATACTCATAAAAAATCCCAACTTCCTAACTTTACAAACACGAAAGTTATGGCATTTCCGATCAATCAGTTATATGGCAGCTATAGGATATAGTCGGCCGATCCTTTTGAAATTTGGTAGGTCGGACTGATTGGCCAAATATAAAATCCATAGAAAATCCCAACTTCCTAACTTTACAAACACGAAAGTTATGGCATTTCCGATCAATCAGTTATATGGCAGCTATAGGATATAGTCGGCCGATCCTTATGAAATTTGGTGAGTCGGATTGATTGGCCAAATATAAAACCCATAGAAAATCTCAACTTCCTAACTTTACAAACACGAAAGTTATGGCATTTCCGATCAATCAGTTATATGGCAGCTATAGGATATAGTCGGCCGATCCCGGCCGTTCCGACTTATATACTGCGTGCAAAGGAAAGAAGGGTGTGTGCAAAGTTTCAATTCGATAGCTTTAAAACTGAGAGACTAGTTTGCGTAGAAACAGACAGACGGACAGACGGACAGACAGACGGACAGACGGACAGACGGACAGACGGACATGGCTATATCAACTCAGGAGGTGATCCTGATCAAGAATATATATACTTTATAGGGTCGGAGACGTCTCCTTCACTGCGTTGCACACTTTTGACCAAAATTATAATACCCTCTGCAAGGGTATAACAAGAAAGGAAAGCTAACTTCGGGCGGAGCCGAAGTTGATATACCCTTGCAGAATATTCTGTAAATTATATTCTCCAAAATTATTCATACGATGCATTCATAATACTCATAAAAAATCCCAACTTCCTAACTTTAAAAACACCAAATTTCCAATCGTTCAGTTATATGGCAGCTATAGGTTATAGTCGGCCAATCCTTATGAAATTTGGTAGGTCGGATTGATTGGCCAAATATAAATATATATATATAATAAAATCCCAACTTCCTAACTTTGAACACACCAAAGTTATGGCATTTCCGATCGTTTAGTTATATGGCAGCTATATATAGTCGCCCGATCCGGCTTGTTCCGACTTATATACTATACAACTTTTGGGAAAGATTCAAGCAGATAGCTTTAAAACAGAGGGACTAGTTTGCGTAGAAACGGACAGACGGACGGACGGACGGACAGACGGAAATGGCTAGATCGACTCTCCTGGTGATGCTGATCAAGAATATATATACTTTATAGGGTCGGAAATGTCTCCTTCACTGCGTTGCAAATATTTGACTGAAATTATAAAACCCTTTGCAAGGGTATAACAACAACGTTATACTTTTTATACCTTATATTATACATATTCTTGATCAGCATCACCAGGAGAGTCGATCTAGCCATGTCCGTCCGTCCGTCTGTCTGTTTGTCTGTCCGTCCGTCCGTCTGTCCGTTCGTCTGTCTGTCCGTCTGTCCGTCAGTCCGTCCGTCTGCCCGTCTGTCCGTATGTGAGTCTGTACGTCTGTCCGTCCGATTATCCGACTGTCCGTCCGTCCGTCCGTCCGATTATCCGTCTGTCTGTCCGTCCGTCCGTCCGTCCGTCCGTCCGTCCGTCCGTCCGTCCGTCCGTCCGTCCGTCCGTCCGTCCGTCCGTCCGTCCGTCCGTCCGTCCGTCCGTCCGTCCGTCCGTCCGTCCGTCCGTCCGTCCGTCCGTCCGTCCGTCCGTCCGTCCGTCCGTCCGTCCGTCCGTCCGTCCGTCCGTCCGTCCGTCCGTCCGTCCGTCCGTCCGTCTCGTCCGTCTGTCCGTCCGTCTGTGCGACCGTCCGTCCGTTTCTACGCAAAACTAAGGGACTAGTAGTTTTAAAGCTATCAGCTTGAAACTTTCCCAAAGGTTGTCTTTCTATTACTGGTAGTATATTAGCCGGAACGAGCCGGATCGGGATTGGTAATATTTAAATAAAATTATTAATTAAATTTATTTTGTTGTTTTTTATATTTATCAAAATCTTTTTTTGACATATAGTAATTATTTACTATATTAGAATTACGATTTTAGTTTTGTAAAAATAGGACAACAATATTAATATAGCTGCCACAGAATACGATGGCAAAATGCAGCGCAAAATAGACATAGCTTCATTGTTTTTATACCCTTGCAGGTAGTATTATAATTTTGGTCAAAAGTCCCAAAAGTCCCAAAGTTTTATATTTGGCCAATCAATCAGTTAGGAAGTTGGGATTTTCTATGGGTTTTATTTTTGGCCAATTAATCCGACCTACCAAATTTCATAAGGATCGGCCGACTATAACCTATAGCTGCCATATAACTGAACGATTGGAAATTTGGTTGGGATTTTTTATGAGTATTAAGAATGCATCATATGAATAATTTTGGAGAATATAATTTACAGAGTATTCTGCAAGGGTATATCAACTTTGGCTCCGCCCGAAGTTAGCTTTCCTTCCATGTTTTGTATTTGATTTGATTGATTGGTCATAAACCATCAAAGAATATGATCAAAATATCATTTGCAAGTAAAAGTATTTTAAACTATTAATTTCAAAACAAGGCGGAAAGTTTCCATTAGGTTTCAGATGTTCACATATTTACAAATGTAGTAGTAACGGGTAGAGAAGAACGAATCTGTAAGTTTTTTCAAAGGTGATCCTTGGAACAAGTCTATGAATTTTGAATCCTTAAGAATATTTTGGAAGCGGATGCTGGAAAAAAGACAAAAGTTAGTTTTTAAAAAACTCAGGTGAGAACTTCTGACTACTGTTTTTCTTGCTGTGACATTTTAATAGAGACCTCCAAATCGACAAGCAGTGATACCGTGCACTGCTTCCAGGTCAGCACTCAAATATGGCGGGCTCCAAACATTTCGAGTTTTCCATCGCTAAGTCTTCCAGTACTAAAAATTTAATAGCGACCTTTATAAATATATAAACCTTAGATACATGTTTATATTATTTGATTTAAACGAAAATACTTCACCTTCATGTGAGCTTTGAAATTACATTTTAAAATGGTTAAAATAATGTGAACTTCATATGAAAACTTAGCTTTCGATTGGCATTCTTTTTTAAAAGTATGTAGGTCTTACATATGCATTATTTATTTTATGTCACTTTAGCATTCCAAATTAGAAAACGAAAACTAAATAAAAACGTCCAAATTTATTTAATATTTAGGAAAATATAATGAAAACTTACTACAAAGTAAAAATGTATTAATATAAATAATAAATCTATGTAAACATTAGAGAAGCCCGAAGTAACAGAACAAAAAATTTATTTTCAGTGGAGCTTCCGACCAAAGACGAGAGAAACCAGCTCTCAATCTAGTTGACGCTCTCACGCTACACACACAAAACAGCAAGAGCGGGCATCAGCACAATGAAGAGAGCTCAGAATGAGCGACCGTCAGAGCTCCGGAGCAGCAAAATGTTTTTGCTTTCGAATGGAACGGACGTCTCGCGGACGAATGTGTTTTATTGCTGCGGAAAATTATCGTTTTAAAAGGGAGGCCACAGTGGATTGCCGACAGCTAATACTATGTTATGTTAGGCGGAAAATGTGTGCCTTACGCATTTAGTGAATGAAAAGTGGGAAAATAGTGGAATACCCCATTAGATATATGGAGTTGGAATAGAAGAAATTCCACGGAATACAAGTGCGTGCGATTGCACGAGAGAGTGTGCGGTGTTAGTGTGTGTAAAATTCACTGTAAATAAATAAATAAAAAAAAATTTGTGTACACACACGCGTAATACATATACACACATATATACTTATATATATATGTGTATACACATCATGTTGTGAAGTTGCGGCGCAAAAAGAAAGCACGCGAATAAAACATCAGAAAAATTTAATTACGCCTGTGTCTGGGAAAGTGCGTTGTTCTATTTTGAAATCGATACCAAAATAAAATACAAAAATGTAAAATGTGACAAAGCAACAGCTACGATGCTTCACAGAAATAACTTATCAAATGGTATGATACAACAAATAAGAATAATAAAAAAAAGAAAAATAGAAAAAAACGTAACTAGAAAAATACTCGGCTAAAATTACTACGCAGCAGCAATTTATGCCAAGTTGTTCTTGCTCCTCTCCTCCTTTTTTTCTCCTCTCTCTCCACCCGTTTTCTCCTGTTCCTTTTGTTGTTTTTCCATATCTATCATATCTCGGGCCTGTTGTTGTTCTTCTTCTTTGCACACCGCTTTACGTCTCCGTTTTGTGAATGAGCAGCGCAGCATTATTCTCTCTCTTTCTTGGTCGCACCGCACCCGGTTGCTCTCTTTCATTCGCGGCTGCGCGAAGAGAGGCGAAAAGGAAACGAAAGAATTTCGATTGCTGCCGGTTTTTGTGTTGTTGTTGTGCTGTTTTATTGTAGTAAGCATTGTGAAAAGCAGTCCAGATAAGTTAATAATATAAATCGATCATAAGGTGTAAAAAATCTTTGTAATTCGATTTTTTGTTAATACCAATATCAGTTTTCTATATTTTTGAATTAAATAAAAACAGAATAGTATGTTATTGGTCTATAATATACACTTTTAATTTCCCTCAAACACAAATCTTAGAACATATGTATGTACATATATACATTATGTCACTTGAGTGTTTATCTATTTAAAAAAAAAGCTAAGTGACGATGCGGACCGTGATAGTGCAATGGTGACTACTAAATACTACATAGAAAATTAATTGGTTTAAGAGAAGAGCAAACAGTGTGCAAGCACAAATTTCGAAAATTGGAGCTGTTGGGCGCGGTGAAGAAAATTGATTACGCTTTTTACGATCAAAATATAATTAACCCTAAAAAAACGTCGCTCGACTTTTGTCTTTAATGGCACAATTCATTCTATGGGTAAATATTTGTAAAATTAGTGGCGAATGGGCAATAAAGATCCCCTTTTTCTAAAAAAATAAGAAAGATTGTTTGGCAGTTTTTGTTTAAAAATTAGAATAATTCATAATGATGTATAGTTATTTTAACATGTTCATTCTGTAGATTTTCGGGCACTTTCTAATTTATAATTGTTTCTTGTTTTTTATTTAACGTCAAAATGTAATAAGTAAGGAGAACTTTTATTATGAAAATGATTTTTGTATATTAATAATTGTTTTATAAACCCATTTAAATCTCCTTAGCTTACTTTCTTGCATTTCCACATTTTAAACTTACCTGGAATCAAAAACAGTATTTATATATTTTCAACTCGATAAAAAAGATTGTCGTTACTCACTGATTTGTGGTTACTGATTTGTCGGTTGGTTGTTCGTTGGCTGACAAAATATGTTAATTTTTGATTCTGATTATTTTGTTTGTAACATATATTCGCAAATGTTTTTATAAATACTTAAATTTTTTTTTATTTTGTACAGTCCCTAACTTTTAATTATAGCATACAAAAGTAGGAACCGCTAAAATTATAAGTTTTAACTTTTATAATATTCTTCAAGAATAATAATTATTTTTGACCAAACAAATAAAACTTTTTAAAATAATCGTTATGGATTTTTTGTAAAAAAAAAAATTATTTTAAAACTGAAACTTCAGTGTGAAAAATCATGAAGGATATAGATGGACCTTAGCGGATCACTTAGGTGATTGATTTTTTATCTAAGTATGTACATATGTATATCGACAAAGGGAATATAACAATAGATCCTGAGGATCCCTTAATCGCACTGAAATAATATCGTGCGTATTGCAAAATAGGAAAACATAATACCAATAACTGACGATGGTCTAGATATTACTATGGATAAAAAGTCTTTGGGAAAGGAAAGAGGGGAAATAAGAGGACGGGTCCGCCTACTAATTAAACAGCATAAGCACTAATTGGCGTGCCGCTGCGCTTGCTGTTGCTTTTCGAGTTGCCGTTAGACTGCCCACTTGCTGTGCTCTTATTATATTCGCGTTATTATTGTATAATAAGGAGGTGGGGGTAAATCAACAACGAAATCGAAACAAAAAAACCATCCTCGAATTGCGCATTTCTGAATTAATCATGCTATATTTCTGACGAGGCCCGCGGAACATTGGCCAATGTATTTGTATTTGTGCGTTTATTTTTAAATCGAGTTTGCCTTCCTGTTTTCGTGTATGTGCGAGAACGTGTGTATCCGTGTTTGTGACAAAAATAAGTCTCCGCAAAAACAAATTGTTGAAATAGAACCAAAATAAAACAGATAAACAGATGAGATCTATAGAGGATGACACAATGACGGAACCCGGGCCATGTTTGTGTAGTTGTTTTTCTCAGTATTTGTATTATTTTACTGTCGTGAATTTTATTCTCGATATTTGTTTTTATGGTGTGGCACAAACAGGAAATTGTTTGTCCGGCTATTGTTGATGACGTATGACTAGGCTCTCGTTGGCAATTTTGGTCTCATAATTTGGCCACACTAATTAACAGCAGCGAAACGAAAAACAAAAAAGTTTTGACCACATGTCTAAACCTAGCTGCGCACGGGCTAGAATAAGAAGGCATGATAGTCGAAAGAGAGTGGACGGTGATAAGCCTGTGTGTGTGAGGCGAGCGAGACAAACAGACAGGTGTCATTGACCTTTTTCGATGCGAAACATTACACACACACATGCAAACAAACAATTTTGTGTGCATTTTTTCAGCTGCGTTTTCTTTTTTCCTTCCACTCTCTCTGGCGCTGCTGCCCGTTGTGTTTTTTTTTTAATCTTTGTTGCCTTTGCGTCTATGCTTGGCCTTGAACTTAGACGCTTGTCTTCTAATCGCTCCATGCCCCCAAATATAAAATTGTATTTCTGTTTATCTGTTTTGTGAAATGTTTGACTTGGTGTCTTGTAATAATTTCTGAGGCGTTAAAATATTGAAAAAGTGATCGTTTATAAAAAATGAAAGAATGTCTTTAGGTAAAGATCTAAAATAAAGATGTACACAATTGTGCATAAATAAGTGGGGAAAAATAAGAATATTATTATTCGGTAAAAAGTACATAAATTATTTATTTCGTTGCAATAATCGCTTGTCAAGGTAATCCAAAACTCCGTAAAATCACACTACTTTTTTTTTGTTATTGCTTTTGGCTTAGCACTTTGCTTTTTGCCCGAATTTGTATTAATAACGCAAGCCTTGTTACCATTTATTTTTCCATTTAGAAAATGCACTGTATTTGCGCTTTGAGTAAACTTGTTTTTTTTTCGAGCCACATTTAATTGTTTTCTTTTATTTGAATTCGCTTTTCTGAAATTCAACTAAATTAGAATTGACTTAGCACATTGCAAGGGCAGTAATAATGATTGAATGGACTCGAATTTATCGCATCTCCTTTTCAAACAGCTATCTAGACATCACATATACACCCTTCATCACACACAGATGCTTCCGAATCTTATCATTAGAAGGTCTAAGGTCCAAGTAAATAATAACAATGGCAATAAAGAGAAAAAGAACAAAAACAAAAGTAGCGCCGGCAGGCATCACGAAGCACTACGCATACTTGGACTCAACAACACATGACATCGTTCGATGTTCGTCACACGGTCGTATGACAAGTTCCCCCCGATTTCCCGTTCGAAAGTCTGCAGTCGCCTACGCATTAACACCAGACACTCCGAGAAATCCGACACACCGAGAATCGAGATAATAGATTTAAAACTTGAATAGTTATTTAAAGTTGGATCTCGTATATAATTTGTATTTATGCAATTTGTTAATAAATTTTAATATTAAAAACAAGAAAGGAGAAAACTTCGGCAAGACAATGTTTATATACCCTTTCAGTTATTACTATATATCAAATAAATATAAATATATATAGCTAAAAACAATAAAGCTACATATGTCGATTTTGCGCTGCATATTGCCACGTTCCTATGGCAGCTACATATATGATATTGTTGCCCGATTTTGACAAAACTATTTTAAATAATTTAGTAATATCTCTAACTATATCTAACCGTATTTCCATTCGATTTTTATAGGAAAAATTTCCCATAGGGGAGCTATATGATATAGTCGTCCGATCCGGCTCGTTCCGTCATACATACTATCTGCATAGGGGAGCTATATGATATAGTCGTCCGATCCGGCTCGTTCCGTCATACATACTATCTGCAATAGAAAGGCAACTTTTGGCAAAGTTTCAAGCAGATAGCTTTAAAACTGAGGGACTAGTTTGCGTTGAAACGGACGGACGGATAGACGGACGGATAGACGGACAGACAGACATGGCTAGATCAACTCTCCTGGTGACGCCGATCAAGAATACATATATATACTTTATGGGCTTGGAAACGTCTCCTTCACTGCGTTGCAAACTTTTGACTGAAATTACAATAGTCTCTGCAAGGGTATACAAAATATATTTTTCTTATTTTGAATAATATATTTTTTAGTTGCAATTTTGTCTTAAACACCAATAATTTAGTCATTTGCAGTAGTAACTTATTGAAGAACAATTATATTTTTACCGGTGCTGTGCACACCTATTTCTCAGTAATAACACTCGTAGACTATGTGATTTTAAAACAGCGATAACACAATTATTATAGAAATAGTTAACTATAACAAAAGGTTGTTGATATTAACAACTAAACATGCAGAAAATGTGGGGGTGGGATGGGCAAAAAAAGGGGTGTGACGGACTGGCGATGACGTGGTGTTTATATACACTCGCCCGCATATCTCTGCGTACACCCCAAACAAAATTCAAAATCTAACTTTAAACCCTTGCTTTTCGGTCATTTATGCATATATTATTTTTTAAACATAATTATTTTTTTTAAACATAATTATAATTTGTCTTCATTGACGTTTTTATACCCTTGCAGAGGGTATTATAATTTTGGTCAAAAGTGTGCAACGCAGTGAAGGAGACGTCTCCGACCCTATAAAGTATATATATTCTTGATCAGGATCACTTCCTGAGTTGATATAGCCATGTCCGTCTGTCGGTCTGTCTGTTTCTACGCAAACTAGTCTCTCAGTTTTAAAGCTATCG